TTTCGACTGTGCGTCTCATGACAGGGTCGGTTCCCTCTGGGGACGCCCGTGGGTCGGTAAGAAGGGAGTCAAAACCCACAGCGGAGACCGGACACAAGGAAAAATTCGTTACCGTTACCGCGTGACGAACCCTAGCTGGCTGAAAGTAGGAGGGGGTCAACGTGTGCCCTGCCCTGAAAGCCCTGCCCCGAGATCGGAGACTTGGCTGCCAGCACCCCGTTGGCATTCAGTGCCCGTGGATCCAGAGAAGGACCAGTGCAATTAGCCTGAGCCTCGGCCACCCCCCAAAATAGTGGGAGAGCCGTGCCTGGGAACGGGGGTTCCCCGGAAGAGACGTGTTTGAATGCAAACATGCTTTCGTGTCTCTTCCTGCTTGCCCCCCGAGGGGACACAATGGAGACAGCTCGCTCCGACTGCGTCTGATCTATCCGGCCTACCAGGGACGCAATTGCCCCGACAGTCCTTCGACCAAAGCCCTCAACTCGGAGGCAAATCCGGCGCCGTGCGAGGAAGGGCCCACAAAGAGACCCGCAAAGCCTCCAGGGGCACAGCCTCGCTGCAGCCGGTAAAATTTGGTAAAACACCGCCTGAAAACACAGACTGTGAGGATGCCCTTCGATCAGCGGGGGAGGCCGAGAAAAAATATCGGTACCTCCGCCGTTGGGCCTCTTACTCGACGCCCCGGTACATGAAGTACCGGTAGCCGAGCGTGAGGACTTTCCACTCATGCAAAACATGCAACTCACTTTAACCGATTTGTTTACTGGACGCGCGACCTGGCTGTGACGCGGTCAGTCTAAGCGATTTGATGGCTCTGAAAGAAAAACTCTGGCCTCAGAACTCCAGTGAAAAAAACACGCTTCCACGCAAAAACCCCGAAACCCGCACGTAGCTACGACAAAGTATCTCGGATGCGGGTTCTATGCTGGTAAATTCTGAATATAACCACAGCATGGTCGATTCGAAACACGAGGAGACCGGAAAAAAAATGGCAGCGAGCCCTGGTGCTGTCATTACATTTATATATTGCTAAATACATTGAAAATAAAAGACGACATGCATGAGGGAAACGAATTACAGTAGTAAAAGGTGCCGCCATGAGATCAACATGTGACTACGTAGTGGCGCCGGGTTAGATTTCTTTGTTGTGGAAAAGCATAACAAACAAAGGGGAAAACGACACGAGGGTAAAAATACAAGAAAAACTTATCCTACCAGCTAGAATGTCGGATGCCGCGGCTGCGGCGATGACCCACGCTAGAAACCCGGACAGGAAAAAGCAACAAAGCCAAGCAGAGCCGCTCAGAATCATTCCCCGACGAGGCGGAGAGAATTGAAGAGTGATGGACGTCTACCTATGGCGCTGCCATGTGGCCTCGGTCACGTGGGTTCGTGACGTAAGGGGTCAAAGAATCTTGGGGTCATGGGGCTTCCCCTGACCTAGATTCTATCTCTCCGTCACCGGCAGAATCGCTGATTAATGCCTACAGTTCAAAATAGTCATTTTGACTGACCGGAGTCTATGGTGGGTAATTTAACGTAGTGAATTCATTCATAGATCTCAAATTTCATGTACAGAGTGACAAAAGCCAGACCTCTACTTCCCTTAAATACAGAGAGCAGCCAGAGATGTTTTCATTTAATACTTACTTGGAATTAATGCTACTGGTCTAACTTTCAATGAGGACCCAATAACAATAAGAAGATCAACTTCTTCTCTATCCTTGTCTATCTGGTGATGAAACCTTTGAGGCAATCCTTCTCCAAAAAATACAATATCAGGTTTCATCACTGCCAGTTGTTTGCTGTCTTCTGGTAAATTACATTTCGGACACAGTGGTACAATCTGAAAGAACATTTAGAATAATCAGTTTAAGATTATTAATAAATTAGTTGACATTACAGTTTTTCACTTTCATTCAGAGCAACAAAAACTTTAAATGTCTAACCTGATTAAAAACATCCTGTCGAATAGCCTCTGCATTTACTTGGTATTTACACTTTGTACATGATGCTGTGTTAAATGAACCTGTTATATAAATTACAAGTTGTTAAATACGGATTAGTGAAAAATTAAAAAATCAGTGCTTCTAACATGACTGGACCATCTCCACCAATAAAATAAAAAAATACTTAAGCAAAAACCAACACATCATTTGGAATGCAAACATTATTGGAAAGCTTAGATCTGGTTGGAACTTTATTTTATTGTTTACTTTCTTTGTAGTGAAAGTCATGTTGATTAAATGACAATTTCACTATCAGAATCCACACTGATAAGTATATCAGCGACAAGACTTTTGTGAAATAAACATTATCAACAAATGTGGTCCATGAATTTGGTATTTTTCTATACCATTAAGCCCTCTTTTGGTGGCTATTTCAAATTGAAAATTGGTAAACTACATCAATATAGGTTCGTTCTGAATTTCAGATGGCTAGTAGTAATAGGGAATGGACTATACAAAGTTATTCAAAATTTATTGTACTTACCATGGCATTGTATAACCTTGGTAATGCCAGCAACTTGTTCCAATGTATCAATATTCTGTGTATAGTTTCTTAATAATTTGTTATGTTTCTCTAATAAACTCATAAACTTGTGGCTTATAGAGGGTTGAAACTGACCAGGGTAAATCTCCTGAAGACAAGAAAGATTAAATATTATAATTGAAACGAGATAGTGATATTGTAATAGTTTTCTAACAGTTAAATGACGGTGGTCATAGAGCAGTGTGCATTTGAATTTCAATTAAACAAACGATGTATTTTATACTATACATCAGTATGGGACCCATGTTGAATACGGCATGACATGACCACCATAGCCCTTTAATATTCGCAATGAAATAATTAATAGAGCCTATGCTATTCAAACTTGCTGGTTTTCTAGAGACTCTTTAACAAACCATTCCATTTACAATGATGAGTAAAAATATCCACACAGTAATAACAAGGCTAAAATTTGACAAAGATACAATTTCATAGAAGATAACTTTGGGTCTGGTTGTATTTGATGAATCCTTCCAGTGTGTATAAAACTGTAGCAACGAGGACATTTTTGTTATGACGAAATAATGACAATACCTTAGCGAACTTGAAAAATGGTCTAGGATTCTTCTCAAAATATCCAATATCAAACATAGCTTGTGGGTCTGGAAGATCAGGGAAGTCGATTGCCAACCTAGCGTAAATACCGTCTCTTGATCGGAAGTCAGGAATACCGCAGGATACAGACACCTGTAAAATAAAAATTATGGTTATGAGGTTAAACCGCGGGTCTTGGTATATAAAAGGAAAGATGGCCACCAGTTTTCTGTATGCAAATGACACTCAAGCATAAACATTGCTTCGGGGTGCTTTGCAAATTCCACTCTTTTCGACAATTTTAACGCCTGTGGTGCTTTATTTTCATGTCGTACACAAACATGAATATATCCGCAATACAATTTTCATGTTAATTTACAAGTTCGGAGCAATGTCAGTGTGATTCCTGCGTACAAGCGACAGAAAAGCATGATTCAAACACTTGTTTTGACTGCTCAAAATGTAAAAAATATCCGCTACCTCAGAAACTTTGATGCAATGTAATCCAGCTAAATGGGCATTTGCTCAGTTAAGTAATTTATGTTTGATAACAAGGGTTCACAGTTTTCACTAAGTGTAGCATACTGTAAAACACTTTTTAAATAACTATATGAATCTCAATTTAGCTAAAGTTTCAACAATCTCAGTGTAAGAATATGCTTTATTTTAAAAATTAGCTACATTTTAATTAGTGAAATTACAGATTTGCTAAATAAGCTGAAAAGCCACATTTTACAGTAATCAAGTATAAGCAGTTTTTTTCTCATTTAGTTTCTTAGATAAACTACAGACAATATCACCAAGTCACTTACCCCAGCCCCTGTGAGAACAACAATGTTGGATCGTGTCCTCAACAGATGTAATACATCATCAAAAGTATTAATATAAGTAAGTTTCTTCCTCCTTGGTGGTTCACTAAGAATATTAATTATTATCTTCCACATCGTGAAGTTATCCAAGTCTGGTGGTACCATAGTGCTTTGTGGTAACAGTTTTGTCAGAAGATTTCTGGGGTTAGCTCCTAATATCATTTGTTTCTCAACCCATCTAATGGAACCTGTACAATGTATATACATGTCAGTTACATTCTTATATTAAATAATAGTTTAAACTTTTTTAGATAAACTTATCTGGCCTGAAACAATATACATACCTGGTTCAAGACTAGGTTTCCAACTTCCAAGACGTAGACCTGATAATGAATCATCGCTGTCATCTTCATCACTCAGATCATCAATATCAGCAAAAGCAGGTGATAGGAACCCAGGATCATTTTCTGTTTGATAATGACTACAACTTGGTTCAATTTGTGAAATATCTACAAATTAAGTACAGAAAAACAAAAGCTTAGAACAATCATGATAAGTTAAAATACACTCTCAGTTATCAAGATGCTCAAATCTGACATTTATCTATGTAGTCATTCATTTATAACTCAAGGGTACAACTCCATATAAAGTATTTGCTCTATTAGAAGTGCATCTCCAATAAAAGTGAATATAAACTGAAAATCACATTTATACTGTAGTATATTAATATATTACATATTAGTAAAATATTACTTATTTTGACTATAGAAATGCATTTGCAATTTATGTAAGAGCATGGGCTATTAATAGAGCATGGGTCTGACTGTATTTGAAGAATGTTTCCACAAACTGTAGCAGCTAAGATATAACACGAAGCTAAGAATATAATAATTGTAATTTATGGTAGACAAAAGAGTCGCCATATGCAGTGCTGTCACTGTGGTTACCAGGGTTACAACATTATTTGTGGACTGATTATGAAATATTTAGGAAAACAAAGATCCCAATTTTTCTATTATCTCACTGACAGTTTATTGTGATTCATGAAAAAATCATGTGACAAGAAGATTTTCAAGTGTCAAAAATGTCATGTGTGAATGCGTTTTTTTCACAAAGTGTTAATATCAACCTTAAAAATGTACAGTGCATTGTGAGTAGATCATTGCTTACAGTAGCAGAGCTTGAACATAATAGCCGCATCAAAAATTACCTAGAAGCAAAATAATTTTACTTTGAATCCATTGGAAAAAATAGATTTTTTATTAAGTTGAGACAATTTTATCAATTTGCCTAGGGTGTGCACTCAATTCTGAAGTTTGAGTCCACCAAAGGTTACAATTCATGAACCCGAAAATGAATGATATTTACATCACCATCTTTCTTACTTTACTATTACTAATTAATAAAACAGGAAATTTGTCAGCAGTATATCAAGATCATTAACATTAATTAGCATAAGGGATTACAACTCATTTGCATCAAAGGAAATGTCATAATCTGTCTCAGCCTTGCCACATGTTCAGAACTCGAATAAATTTAATCAGAAAACACTAAATATATGTACTTATATACGTTAGTAATCCAAAAGTTATCAATATTAGGTTTTCAATTTTTGACCAAGCTTCAAGTTTTTTCATTCATATTACTTTCAAACATCAGAATTAGAATTTTACGAAACAGGCTGATTTTAATAATTAAAACAAGTGAGATTTAACTTAGCACAATATAAACAAAAAATACTGTAAAATCTGGTAAAATTTATTTTAAATATTTAACATTCTCACTGTTTTATTCTACAAATTCATGAAATATGACATTTCTAAGACAACATGTATCATTTCAATATTGTCTTAAATATATCTAATGCTAAACACTTTTGTTTTAGAATTTAAAAAAAAAATTGTCATTGCATTTCATTATTAGTGGAGAGAATAACATGAAAAACAATAAATGTTTGGGTTCCCACTGATTTTGTTTACCTGTACTTACAGAAAATGTCATACAGGGACTAAGAACAAAGTGCACTTGCTTGGGAGTTACAAAGACAATGACAAAATCAAATCATCTGTATACATGTATATCAAATGACAGCAAGACAAATGCATGATACAACTTCACTGTAGGATGAACTGTGGAATTGGAAAATATCACACACTTTACATTAGTTCTTGTTTTGACTTTCCTAATATTTACAAGACATTATAAACTCAATATGTATATTAAAAAAATTGTTAAAGTCCAACTTATCACCACCGACATTATAGTTTATAAAACAAAACGAGTTGTCAATTTGAAATACTACAATCATTGTTTATAAACAGCAGAAAAAAAAATATTCTAAACTAAACTGAATTTAGAAAAAAAAACACAATGAAGACACATAACATTTGCTGGACACAATGAAATAAGCGACCTTGATTGAAATTGAAAATATACAATAATAGTTATGCTAATGTAACAGCGAATTATTTGGCGGAACGCCGAAAGCGGTTCCACAAATTCGCCACACCCGACGCGGATCGCACTGGTTTTGCGCGAGAATATTAAAACTAAAATCTAACTAAACCCAAAAATAGAAAGAAATTGTACCTGTCATTCTATCTGGAAACTGTGGCAACATGTCATCAACCGATGCGGGCCCAACTCCATTTCCTGTGACTAACAACTGATCTTCAGATCTACCGCCGGCGCCTTGTCCGAGTTCGCCTTCGATTGGCGGAACTCGAAGGTCGTTCAAATTGCGATTCTCTTCCAATCCTTTTTCAGATATAAAACTGCCATTTACCCCAAAACTTTGGTCATAATGTGCCAGTTTTTCGACACTGGGGTAATGGTTAAATTCTCCGTCAGTTTTCGAAAAGATGTCAGTCTCAAACGTCCGACTGTGGGCGATTTTTTGACGTTTTGAAGGAGAAACGAAAAATTCCTGTTCCGTGTCCGCCATTTTGGTGATTTCCCACTAGTGCGTCTCATTAGTGCAAGTATTGTAGCTGCAGATTCGTTACAAGAAAGGACGCCCAATACAATAAAAGAAACAAAGAAAATATTAATTACACTGATATTGTGCTTTTAATAATATTTTAATGCCGTGTCATAAATAATTTTTTAAAACTGTTGCCATATTCCATGAATTCTATCAATAAAAAAGCGTCATAGGTAAAGCCCTTTAAATTACTAGTAATTCGGTCTCAGTTCCGAGATTGTGACGTATTGTGAATCTTGGAATCACATGAATACAGTCAGTCTACTGAAAGGTCTTGCTATGCACCTCACCCCACAACCCTCTCTGGCCGCTCACCAAGAAAAAAACAAGTTAACATTCATCGTTTTCTCGTTTTCATCGCAATTTGCATACTTTGATATAATGTTTGTTATTCAGATTTTAAAGACAAAAATCATGATTTTTCGAGTTTTTTTATTCAGTTTTAAAAATTATGAACATCATCGAAGTTATTGAAAAATTAGAATTAATATTTGAACGAAAAATAAATTCTCCTCTTTACTATTACAAATACCCATAATTTTTTAAAATTGATTTTACTTTTAAATTCTCAGAACTCCTTTATTCTTTTGTCTTTATCAAAGTATATAGTTTATGGAGACAATATTGTTTTCAATGTTAGATAAGATGGCATGATCATTCAATTGTTTTTGTGAACTTTTTGTTTTATATAAGGCCAATAAAATATGAATATATTTATATTTACCGTGCACTCCCAGGATTTTGGGTGCTCGCCAAAAATTTACTAAAATGACCAACAATCATAAAATTGAGATCATAAATGATCGGGTCGACGGTAAAATTTTTGGTCAAAACAACGCACATATACTTCAACTACGGGGGCGTGCACATCACAGGGAAAAAACACACGTAATTTTCAGTTCAGAAAATGAAAATGACGGTAGTTGGATGCGAATAAAGCAAAGGATCGAATACTAGTATTTTTTTTTTACGTTTACAGTATATTTTTTATTATACTCTTGTTTACTAAACCTATATAAAATACATGTATATGGCCAACAAACTACTCTTAACACAAAACACCATTTACCATTGTTATCTATGGTAAACAGTTTGGTTACATTTATTGGGTTGAACACCCCCGCTCTACCGTAATTGCTTGATATTCGTTTATACATTATTCGACATGCAGAAACAAAAATGATATGCATTTTAATGTAGAACTTAATTCTGAAATAAAATCATAATTTTAAAAATGATTTTTGTTAATGACTTACTGAAAAAACAAAATTTAATTTGTTTGCTATATTGTACACCAATGTGTCAACAAAAATGTATTATTTATGCTGTTATGTATTCTGAAAGTGGGAGTGTCGTCACCTGCGCACGCGGGGAATTGAGTCCCAAGCGACGATAACAACATACGCTAAGAACGCTCATGAGTAAAGTCTCATGGGTAAACGCTTGTTTGTAAACAATGACACACTATGGCCACCTGACGCATGCGTAGATGATGACTCCCCCGCTTTAAAATTATACTTTTTGTGTTGGATTGTTTTCTATTATACACGTGTCATAGTTTACAAAGTCATTGTTGCATACGCCTGGGTTAATAATGTTACCATGACTCCTCGATTATTCGATTTTTCAGGCCTGTCATATTTCTCGCAAGTAAAAAGAATAATAACAAGTTCTTGATTGTCTACCCCTTATTTACATATTGCATATTGTAAAAATTGAACTTTTGATATACATCCGGGTATCAGATGAGAAATATTCTATGAAGGGCATTTAAATGTATAATTAAATTAATATAAATCATAAGTTAATAGAACAACTTTGGGATAATTATTAGGTTGGTACATTAGTTTTTGTTTTAAAAGTGTGCTTATGTATTTGTACTAAACTTCCAAATAACTTATGTCAAATGAAAGGTTGTTCACTCTAAGATAGATATGATAATATAAATTGTATTTTATTATAAGTAAGTTTGGTCAAATCTCAATTATTAGTTTATATGGTTATTACAGAACATATTACGTTTATAGCATATTTCAATGTGTATTTGACTCTTAGTTTATTATTTTTACGCGGTCACGTGACGGTCAATAAAACGCATTATTGACTTCGAGTCTAGTAACATCGGTTTCGTTTTTGAGCATGTGTTTACAAAGATGGCGTCTGCAACAGACTCCAAAATTCGATTTGTGTTGTATAATATATTCGGTATAATACAACACATAGTTACCTCAGTATTGGTCAATATTCAGTTTTAAAGTTGTTGCCGATTGACATACCTTACGTATTTTGGCGGGAAATATGTATAAATGCCTATCTTTCTCATTGACCAAAAATTGAAATTTAGTCAGAATATTCAAGTTTAAATTTGTTTGTATGTATTTAAGCGATCACGTGAATCAATGGTATTACACCATTTCTGGAACAGCGCTGTCAAAAAATAGTTATACGTATAAATGTACTCACGTGACCTACACCTTGACTGTGCCATACCTCTGCAAATTGTAACTGAATAGAAATTGTTTCAGTTTTAAGGACATTTCAAGTAGTGTTAACCAGTAATTAATCATTCGTGCCTTTAGCTTGTCATTAGTACATGTAACAGCACAGTAATAGAAGACTGGAGGCGACAGAATACAACTCGCCGGACGGACGAGACAAGTGAAAAAATCAGTCATAACTTCGCTGGTCATCACAAAACATTTGCTTTGCGAATACGTTGATGCAAGTATTGTACGTGTATAGTACATGCACAGTATAATCACCCTTTATTTTGGACAATAAAGATATTATCTTTAGTATATACTAGTAGTTCCACCACGAAACATGTTTGTTCTTAGTCTGGTAAACCCAAAAGGCTCACCCCATTTGCGAAGTCTGGTGTACAATATTCGGATATTTTTTTTACTGATAGTTAAAAGTAAGGTTTTCTCGATAGTTGCTAGCAACATTTCTGGATCATTGTTATGTAATGCCACCACACCAACAAGCAGACAACAGAGTAGTGTTTCGTGCAATTCGTGTAAAATATGCCAAATCATAAAACTATTTGCCAATCTATAGTTTTATTTCAGAATGGAATTTTACTTAAAAAAACAGATTTGGTTTTGTAGTATTTTAAAGATGCATGCGCTGGAATTGAGTTCTACGCGGCGATAACAACGCATGCTAAACACGCAAAGGCTAATGGATAGACGCTTGTTTGTAAACAATGACACGCTATGACCATCTGACACATGCGCAGGTGACGACACCAACGTATACATCTTTACAAAGAATACTTTGTATTCCATATTAAAATACAATGTTTTTTTATATATACAATACTAGTAACTTCGATGATATAATATTTAAAACTGCCCGGAACATGATTTATTTTTAAAAAATCAAGATTTTTTGTTATTACAATTTGAATGTTAACATCTATTTTCTTGTTCAGCACAAACAAATGGTCCGGAAATTTCGGAGAGTGTTGCTGGGGTCGGAGTGCATGGTAATCCCCTTGGAATTCAAGTTTGTCACTTGAAATAATTTTTCGATGAAATTCCATCCACGACAACCTGCGACCAAGGGCTCTTGCCTTCACCCAACCCTATGTGAGAACTGAGCGTGATCATCTAGGGCGTCCAAACCATCTTTTGACATCCATATTAGACAAAATTGCAACAAATCGTACAAAAAATCTATGTTAGGGGCGGACCATCTTGACCGTGAGGAGAGGTCATTTGCTTAGAAGGGTCAGAACATACTAAGTAATATTAGTATTATTGATTTGACGTGTCTTTTTTGAAAAGGGCTCACAATAATAAAAAACATAGTTTGTTATTGATACCATGTCATAATGAATTGGGTAAACATATCTCAAAAGTGAAAACAATAAAGCAATTAATGCTTTGAAATATAATAAAGGCTGAGCAGAAAATTAAATTTGCAATGAAATATAATAGAAACATGGACAAGTACATCTCGCAAGTGACATTCAAAAGCAGTATAATATTATGCATTCCTCAAATCAAATTAAAAAGTAATAGAAATTTCAAAATGTCTCGGAAAACTATTACAAGTATTTTAAATACCAGGTTAACAGTTTTTTCGAGATCAAAATAACATACTCTGCAAAGAATAATTTAGCTTCAGAAAACATCATTGCACAACAGATAATATATATCATAGAAAGGACAACAATGCGAATTTAAACCAAATTGTTC